TTGTTCTTGCACCAGTTGGCGTTGACGTAAGAAGGCATAGCGTCGGTAATTTTATACAATAAGTAGTTGTAAGTAATAGTCTTTTTCTATTGGTATAACAACTTGGTCTGAAAAGCATTGACACAAGATAACCTAACCAATACATGGAAATGCATAGGTAGCCGAAATGTAAACGGTCCAATATAGCCTAACTTAAACGTGTAAAAAATGAAAGACTAACTGAAGCGTTAACACTGTAGTGACGGCCCAAATGACTGCAAAAGTCATCATTCATGTAATGGAAACTAGTTTAGTTAAGTCAATGTTCAGGCCAAAGTCACTTCAACCGTATACTGTATACCCTATATAAAACAAAAGATCAGGTTTTTCATGACTCTTGGAGTCATTCTCCTGCAAAACTGTTTATTCAGCCAGCTTTTGGCGGTGTAAATAAATAAATAAATGAATAAAGAACACCTAGTGGTGGGATTCTGAAGCTCCGTGCTATATTATGTCGGGAATATCTTAATCTTTCACATTGTAAAGAAAAATATTGATTTCGAGCTAAACAAAGAAAAAAAAAATTTCGACGCTGGGGTCCGTCCGTGGGTTAAATGAAATTCAAGACAAAACTGGTGAGCGGTAATCTAAGCTGAAGATAAGCTGAATGCTACAATCTTTTTGTTTTTTCGAATAAATTGAAAATATTGTAATAAATTGAATGGTCGAAGTCAAATTGACCGCGTAGGGCAAATCTGGACAGAAAATGGTGGATCAAATCCGGACACTTCATTTTTATTGTTCCATTTATCACAGTGACTGTAAACATATTCTAAACACAAACAATATCAATCTACACCATTTTCATAGGTAGTTCATGGAAAAATCAGCAAAAGGAGCGCGAACTCACAATGTGCTGTGTATTAATCATATACTGTCACATTTTTTCACGCTAGTGGCACACCTAGCCCATGGATGGATGTACTATGGGTTAGCTGAACTATGTAACTGAATGTCAAGTTGGTTGTGTATGAATTTTGACAGAACTTCTGCGGCCATTACCTAGTGGTGCCACATATCACATCGTTCCATAGACATTGTGAGTTCGAGGAGCGTTAGCAAAACGAACAAGTGACCAGTGGAAAATACAGTGATGTAATAGTATCACAAACAACAGCTTCAAGTGTGACACAACTGAAGGTGTTCCCAAAAACACTTAAACTATGCTCCTTTCCTAAAATTTGAAATATTTACCTAAATTTGCTGGACTTTCTGGAAGCAAGATGCCTTTTTGAACCAAGACCTCTCTATTGGCACGTATTGATATTTTCCGCTCCAACGCTAAAAAGTTGAAGAAAAACAAGAAAATTAATTCGATGGATGCGATTAGTTATCAAATAAAAAAGCTCTAATCTATTTATTTATTTATTTATTTACACCGCCAAAAACTAGCTGAATACTTTGTTTGCAGGAAAATGACTCCAAGAGTCGTGAAAAACCTGATCTTTTCGTGTTTGTACATACAGTTTAGTGTGTGATAATTATAATAGTAGTCTTCTTGATTTGGTCTATATGCAAACGGTTCAAAAGAGCCTAACCTAAATATCCAAAATGAAAGGCCAGTGGAAGCGTTAACATTGTGATTGCGGCCCTAATGACTGTAAAAGTCATCAATCAATTTATCAAAGAAGTGATTATTATTATTATTATTATTCTGCACCAGCGTTATAATACAGCGTTTCTCCGCCAGAGGTGGTTTATTTGATATAAATATTATTTTGTAAATTTACATTATATTACATTAATTAAGTTGCTATATTTGCATAAAATTTATCACTCTCTCCATAATCTATTTCTTTTAAAATATTCATTAATTCTCTGTTTAACAGTATTTGTACTCGTGTTAAAATCAATTAAATAAGTATCACAGACTGGAGTAGGAACATTATGATAATTCTTATTTTCTTTATGAATTAAAGGTGGCTTAATTGGCACAAATTTGTTATAAAAATCATTGTACGTAGACAGCATATGATTGACTGGTTCGAATCTGGAGTAATCACGGTGTCGTACTGGTAGAGATAGGAATGCTGTGTCTCTTGTCCAATGCCGTGGTGTTCTAATATTGATTTCGTTCATAATGTGTCTCGATGATGTATGCCCGCATAACACATTATGTACCATTGTAATTTGAGCTATCTTTCTTCGTTCCGCAAGCGTTATCATTTGCAATTCCAGCAATCGACATTCGTATGGTGGTAACTTAAATCCATGGGACCATTTCATTTTACGCAGTGCAAATAATAAAAACTGCTTTTGAACGGACTCAACTCGAGCAATCTTTTCAGCGGTGTATGGGCTCCAAATCTGTGAGCCATATTCGATAATCGGTAGTACAAATGTGAAAAATAATTTCTTAATTGTCCATGGGTCCTCAAAATCTCTCCCAAAATGTTTGATCCATGCCAATCTTGACTTTGCTTTGGCGGTAATGAATTCAATGTGTGCATTGAAATTCATGTTTACATCCAAAATAACGCCCAGATCCTTCATCACTTCAACACGGTCAATTTTTCGTTGTCAATCGTGTATTCAAACACAAATTTCAGCTGTCCTCGGTGGTATGATATGAATTTAGACTTCTTGACATTCAATTTCAGCTGATTACTTTTGAAGTATTTTACAATCCTATTTAGATCAGCTTGTAAGGCTAGGCAATCATCATAGTCTTGAATGTGTTTCCATAATCGGGTATCATCAGCAAATGATTGTAATACTGAGTCGATTGTATGATGGGACAGGTCAATGATAAATAGTAGAAACAATGTTGCACCAATTGGGTAGCCCTGTCCGGTTCCCGAAGTAACTTCAATGGTTTTTGACATTGCTTCATTCAATTTGACAACTTGTTGTCTTCCATCCAAATATGACTGTATCCAATTTAGAATTTCTCCATTCAAACCCATAATGCTCAGTTTTTGGATGAGTAGCTCAATATTAACCGAGTCAAACGCCTTAGCTATGTCCAGATAAATAGCATCGGTTTGGATATGCTTTTCCATATTGGTAATAGTTCGTGATGTGAATTCGGACAGATTCGTTATTGTGGACTTTCCTTTAACAAATCCATGCTGGCTATCATGGATGATATTTTTTATGTGGAAGTTCAGGTGATTAGCAATAATGGAATCTAGCAATTTGGAAATTACACATTGTAGAGCAACACCACGGTAGTTGTCGATTTTAGTTTTAACGCCACTTTTGTGTATTGGCCGTACATAAGATCTCTTCCATATATCAGGTACGAAACCAGTTTTAAATGATTCATTCAATATGCGTGTTATCGGTTTTATCAGTGTGTGGATGCACCTTTTAATAAAAATGTTTGGAATTCCATCCGGTCCAGATACTGTATTGGTTGGCAGCTTATTGACCGTTTCCAGAATTAGGCCTTCGGTGATATCAATTGTTGGAATATTAAGGCACAAATCTCTCAGGAACGATTCACAGTCTTTGTAATTATTAACGGGAGTATCATTTTGTGTATATGCTTTCGTGAAATGATCCGCAAATGAGTCAGCAATGTCTTGTTGTGAACTTAATTTATTGCCATCATACTCCATCTCGCTGGGCAGATCGTCATGTGTTTTTCTGCATGTATTCACGTAATCAAAAAATTTTGTAGGATCTTCATCGATGAGCTGTTCCATCTCAAGCTTATAGTTTTTGAAGGCAGAACGAGCACAAGCTTTGTATTGTTTTCTCAATTCCGCATGTTCATGAACTGCTGAAAGACGTGATTTTTTTTGCTTATGAAGCGTGTTTACTCTGTTTTTCATGTTGATGAGATCTCTGCTGAACCATTTCGGATGACTTGAAATAGATTTGGTCTTCAACTCAACATTCTCTGAAATAACCGAAATGATGATATTGTAAAAATTACTAATATTTTGTTCCAAGTCAATTCCAGATAAAATGTCATTCCAATTCAAGTTGCACAAATTATTATTGATGACGTCATAGTCGGCTCCGATGAAATCATGGTACTTCAGTTTTAACGCAGTCTTGCTTTGGTTGTTATCAAAGTCGTGAATTTTAATTTCAAGTGCAAAAGGGTGATGTACTTCTCTTTTTAATAGATGATAATCGGATTTATGGCATGTAATCAAGTCAACGCAATTCGTCCAAACTAAGTCGAGCGTTGAACTATTTCGGTTGCTATGTTTGTTTATTTGAACTAAACCCAATTCATGGCACGTATCAAGAACGATCAATTCCTTTTTTCCCGTAGCATTCAATGGAATGGCAATTTCAGGATCTTCATTATCGTCAGTGAACCAGCATAATTTTAGTAGGTTAAAATCGCCAGATAGTATGATGACATCTTCACTGTCCATTTTTGCTGTCACTTCACGTATGGCTTTCATGTTAGCCTCGTAGACTTCGTAAGGAGAGTCTGGTCTAATATAGACTTCGATCAGAAAAATGTTTCTGTTGTTCGATTTCACCTTTGTCCAAACTTGCTCAGCTCCGTACGGTGCACCAGTTCCAATTTTAGGATGATTTAAATTTGTTCTTTACCAATGATTTCATCAACATTTTAATTGAGTGGTAGGTCTCTTAAAAATGTTGCCCACTAAATGATGCACACATAAACAGGAGTGTGCCTGTTCACGTGTACGAGCGCATCGCACAAGCGATTATAAATAAACGTAACGAGAAGAAGAGTCGCCAATGTGTTTGTATTGCATACAAATATAGTATACTCAATATTGTAAGGCACTAACTCAACATTACGTTCATTCATAATCGCTTGTAAAGCGAGACCTGTTCAATCGTGTCTGTTTTTGTGTGCAATATTTTGTGCGCAGTGAACATCAATAGAATCGCAGCGAGCAACTCTGTTGTTCATCTGCACATCGCTCCTTATCAAATCGCGGTCGATCAAACAAGAATCCGAATTTTGAACGAAACCAACGACACCATCACTTTCACCGAACTAATCAACCGAGAAGAAATTATCAGCGACCATACAATCGGAGATTTGATTCTCGGCGAAATAATTGGCAAAATTATCAGCAAAATCATGCCCAATACGATGATCACAGTCCTCGTTGGAATACTCGCCGCCCGTACAATCAGAGTCGAGGCAATTTTTGGCAAAATAGCAATCGTTTTAGCCCACAAAATCAATTTCAAACGACTCCTTTTTGGCAACAACCATATTACTACCCACCGTGTATGATTCCAGTGCAGCAACAACAACATATGCAGCCACAAACTCAATCTCATATGCATGCACAC